AGATCTCATTTAATATTAATGATGCTATAAAAGCCTGAAAAAAATTAATGCATAGCCCTGATGAATCTTGCAAACCTGAATGGTTCTATTTTACACACAAAAAGATGAGATAAGATTTATATATTTCATATATATTTATGTTTCAGCCTTTTAAGTATTTGCATACCTCAATAACCACTCTAAAAACAAAAATATTACGCAGAAACATTAGCCCCAGACAGAAAAATCAACTGTTGTTGAAGTTGGTGTCTTGCCATAGTATTATTCTTTGCTCCTACAATTTCTTTTGGAAAGTTTATTTAGTCTGTTCTTTAAATATTGCAGGCTGTCAATCTAAACTTGAAATTTGATGTTAACATGAAAAAACCTATGTTTTAGTAACATCAAACTTATGAATAACACAAAAGAATTCAAAGTTGAAGTTGAAACTTCATCTTAAACTTTTCCCTTGTGTTCGTTACCGATGCATATACTGATGCATATATAGTATGGAACACCAGACAAATGCACGCACGCTCTCTCTGAACAGAGTCTCCTTTAATACAAAACAAACAGGAAAGTCAACTCTAATTTTGTGGTCTGGCTCAAAGGCCCCATTTCAAAAAGCATTTAACCATATGTTTTCACTATCGTCCTTAACCGAGATGCCCTCCTGAATTCAGACATGAAGGAAAATTTCTTGGAGATGTGTAAGTAAAGATGGAAGTAAATGGTAGTGTTTCATGGCTCTGACAATACTCACGTTTTGTTTCATTTCAGTAATTCTGTCAATTCTTAATTGTGTTTTAAAAGTAGAAAAAACGCATTATAAAAATGAATACTTAAATACTGAAGTATTATAGTAACCTAGCTGTAATAATTGTTGGAAATTTTACCTTACGCAAACATGCAGCTAAATGGGAAAATAAAATTGCCATAAATGTGCAACAACACAAACACAAAGGAACTCCCGAACGAACTAACTGATATTTTTAGCTGAATTTATCAAAGCAGTGCCTATAACGTCATATTGCAGTAACGTCAGTATTGCAAAATGAAGCCATCCTTTCATTCTTAGATGGACAGGAAGTCCCTGCTGCTGCTGTTTTCTTCAGAGTTGTGTTAACTATCTTCCTCACTTTGATCTGATCATAAATGCCTGCCTGAGCATACCTGAAGAGATGTACAATGAATAGCCCACACAATAAATGTGAGAAGTGTCTTGTTTGAAGGGGTGTGTTGCCTGTGACATCCAGCAGAACAAAAGCAGAATTTGTCTATCAGTCAAATACAGGAGGATTAAAGAAAAGAAATTTGCTTTCCTTCTTGGATTTTTATAGATGCAAATGAATTTCAGTGACTGAGCTTTTTATGCAAACATATTTTTGTAATAACATTGACTATAAAATGTGTTCTTTTCCCCTCCTGCTAAAAATATCATATGGATAATTCTTTATAGGTGGAACAAATTACCTGTTGAAGCTAAAGGTGCATTGAGTATGTGATAGCCATTCTGTCTCAGAGGATTAAAGCAATGGGATTCCCCTGTGAGCACATCACTGGTGACAGACTGGTCCATTGTTCTGTAGCAGTCTCCATAGTGGAAACAGTTTTGTATTGAGTGAAAGCTGCCTTGGTAACCTGAAAACAGATATTGCACACACATTTTAACACTACCGCAATGGTATTACCTCCATTTCTGTCACAGTATTTCATTACTATTGTGGGGGTTTTTAGTTCCTCAGTTTTACCTATGGAAAAATGATCATGCTATTCTATAAGGTGTAATAATACAAAAGCTACATCAGACTGGGTCCCACAAGGTGCTGTGGACTGTGATCCCCATCAAGCAAAAATCTCAAGGATGTGCTTCATTTCAAGCAATAGATCAGCTGAACGCAGTCAACAGCCCACTTGTGTTCAAAGCTAAGTAGTAAGTACTCCGTTGGATCAAGTCCAGGATGCTCAGCTCCTAAGGGAGTGTGTCTATAATGAATTACTTTTAATTTAAATACAATAATGCAATATTTAAATGAATAGCACGCCTTTGTTTTCAGTTGAGTAAAGTCTTCTCCCATCCACTGTGCATGAGGCACTGCTGGAGACAGCGCTATTTATTCAAAATACCTTTAAGAGTACCTTAAACCTCGCCTTTGTCATACTGCTCTTATTTCAAATGAAAACCCTTTCACTGACCACAGGGAGCCACAGTCTGCAAGTAAAATTGAACTGGAGGTGCAGGACTGACTCCAGTTGGACGTCAGGTGAAGAGTTTGTGTTCAGCTAGAAGCTCTTCTTGCTTCTGAAAAGTGCTGAGATAAACCTGTATGGTCTCGTAGCTGCCTCGGTCATTCTGCTATTCGGGCATGTTTGATTTTTGTCCTCAACACACCCTACGTTTCTTATGCCCTGCTTTTTTTTTAAAGTATCATATTACCAATGGACCAGCAGCAAGTTGTGAATGAGTTGTATACAACAAAAGAAGATCTTTAACAGTAAAGGACAAATGAGTGCCGAGGAAGGAATTTTACAACCTACAAGTTTGTGGCAACATCCTAAAAGAAAATGTTATTTGCTCCCATAAGGATGACTTCAAAGCATGCCACAAGATTTATACCAACCAGAGCCCGATTTAATGCTGCTCTTTTCTCCTGCCTCAAGAACCTCTTCCTGATTCTGAGTGCACCGCACACTAATTCCACATCATCCATATTAACTATCCCTTGTCCTACCTTCTCTGAAAGTCCCTTCTGAAATGGTGCTCCTTCCCTTACATGTGCTGAAGTCAACCAAGTTAGGCTTGAAGTTTAGTAGAATGTGCTATCAGGATTTTCCTCTAATTGCCAGAAAAAATATGGAGCTGTTGTCTTTCTTCCCTCAGTCTTACTCAGACTGAAACATTTCCTCAGGAAATACTGTAAAAGCTCCAGGTAGTTCAGTCGAACACAGACACAACCAGATCTTCAGCTGATGGAAGTCGGCACAGCTCCACTCACCAGTGGAAGATTTGACTTGCTGGGCCAGTTGTGCAGCTATTCAGTCTGTTTGTTTAGAAACGAAATACCTGTGCGTATCACCAGAGCACCTGGGTGCTGTACAGGGTGGAATGTGTCCCTTACAAGCCACGCAGTGTGTAAGCTTTTTCCTGTTAAGAAAGCTCTCCCGTCTTTTTCTACATTTTCCCTTTACTAACAAAGTTTGACCAAGCAGACAGTATCAGGCAAAGCTCAGGGTCTGTCTGTTCGTTCTGGTCATGTTGTCTAAGGTGGTAATAAATAACGCTAAGTGAGGCAATTCTTTAGTAGAAATGCAATGAACTCATCGAGTGGTGAAAGATTTGCTCTGAAGTTTCACAGTTTAATATGTGTTTTGGCAGAATCTGCAAGGATTAGATGATTCATTTCTTGGGAACCTATGATCCTCCACCACAAAATACCTAAATTGTTGACATCCATGATTGGTGAAGTCCTAATGGATGTCTATATTAGATAAAGACACTATGCACACTGTACCAAAGCTGTTCGTACTTGCTGCTATGTAGAACGCGGCCCAGAAATTTGGAAAGCTGAGTATTAAATGATGCATGTCCTTCCTCGGAAGAGACAGCCACCTCTATTTACTGCCTGGAGGGTCTGGCTCAAAAAAACCCAAAGCGCTCTTATGAGAGGTAGCAAAGCCATCTTTTGATGTGGTTTTAGGTACAGTGCTTTATTGGTTAGCTTTTGACAATTATCCTGACTTTTCTGTTTACAAAACATGAACTCCCTGCTGTAAGCCTTCTAAAAATATATCTTTTTGAGATGAGCAGTGAAAAAAAAAAGAGACACTTGGCTTCAGATGAGGTATAACTGCTTGCAGAGAGCACTTACATGCATTGCTAGAGAAAAAAAATGAACCTTTTCCAGAATGTCTGCTATACATATCACTTCTAGGGCAGGCATGACGTGTATTTTCTCTGTCTCTGCTACCCTTTCGTCATGATCCCAGCCTTGCCTTTGTTAAATCAATTAAATATCTTTATGATCTACAGGGCTGGCACAGTGACTTAGAAAAAGCAGAGAACAGCCAAGCATGACAGAACTGGATTGAAACCAGTTGGATCCAGGGTTTTCGCAAGACCTATGGGTAAAGGTTTCTTTTGAAGTGTTTTAAGTTACACTGTCTAGCTGCTCAGGAAAAAATACCTGAGGCAGAGAACTGACTCAGAATCAGAAGTCTGGAAAAGAACTGCCATAAGCAATCAAATTCTCCTTTGGATTGCAGTATCTATCCCTCAGCATCACCGTGTGGTAATCTGAAAAGGCAGCGCAAAAAGTGTCACTGGCACTATCCAATGAAGAGACACCATGTAGGAAAACACTAGTGTTATTGCACTGTTGTATTCACCAGGGCCAAATTTCTGCTAGAAGTGCTTCACAAAGAAAATAGAGGGAAATACACCATTCCCATTCTAATGTGCTTGCAGATGTGATAAACGCAGGTAGCAAACTAAAGAAAAAAGAGGGAGCGAGGAAGGGAAAGGTTGCAGCAGGAACATTGGTCAGGTAAAACAAACCATGACACTAAAAATGGGACTTTTCACCCTTCCGACCTGAGCAGTGTAATGAAAGCTTACTTCCTTTTTCATTAGCTTTATAGAAACAATGGCAGTGGGACCCTATAAGAAAGGGACAGAGGCTTTATGGAAGGCATTCTACGCGTGTGGAAAAAGGCACAGCGATGGCTATGGGAGGAGTGGACTAAAAGGCAGGTAGCTGCTTCCTTGAGGATGGCAGGTGAAAGACAGAGACTCCCAACAGCTTCTGCAATTGCAAAAGGTGAGGAAGAGGTGGAGGCCCAAGACAGCTCTTCTGCATGGACAAGTGCACCAAGAAGATTACAGAGTTAGACAGTGCTTGCTTTGTCCCTTACGCAGGGATCTCACACCAGACAGTTCACTGCCTGGTTGGAGACCTGTCAGCAAGCACTTGCATTTCTCTGCTGTCTGTTTACATGACCCATCTTCAGAATAACCTCACACGTGACTGCATGGAGGTTTCATGGGGAGTGACAGTGGCAGCGGTTTATTCAGGAGGACTCTGGCCTTGCATCTGAAACACTAAAGGCGGGTGAACCTGGTCTGCAGTTCCACTACTAGATGTATAAGAAGAATTTGGTGATGTTCCCTGCACTTAAACTGGGCATGAAACAACACTTGGGTAGGAAGAATTGTGCTTGCAGTATTACAAGTTGCATTTCAAAATTAAGCCAGCTGAATGTTAATCTTGGAAGGTGGAAGAGTCTTGGAGTGACTGAAATTGCATACCTCCAGGTTGAAGGACTGCAGGATCAATGAGTTGCTATGTCAGTAAGATTTTTTTAATTACTTTTTATGTGCTTTCTATACTCCCACCCGCTGCTTCAGAGGCACAATCAGAGAGTTTCTTTTGGTATCAGGCAGATTGGCTCTTGCTGATGGCCTTCAGTAGCCTGGCACGGCTCAAGAGGCCAGTCAGTCTGTGCCAGAGGATCTGAGCCTCACACATCTTTTACATTATTAAAAAGGGAAAATTACCAGCTTGTTTAAATGCTAAGTGTTCCCGAAAACCAGAGTAATTAGACGAGATGGAAGGGCCATGTGGGTTAAAGCAACCACAAGGACTTTTGTAACAAGGGGTGCTCTTGCCAGATAAGGTTTCATTCATTTTACACAGCCACAGGAAACGAAACTTGTTGCTCGCAGGCAACACAAGGCTTGATTTGCATATGCAATACAAGTCAGAGATTTACTGCATGTATACATTTTTAAAATGTGCAGTATGAAATAAAGGTGCTTTTGGTTCATGCCATTTAGTTCCGGTTCCTTTAGATTTTTTTGAAATGCTTTACACAGAAAGTATTAGGAATTAAGATATGATTAAAATCCCATAACCAATGGTTCAATTAACAACCACATATGGCTGATTAGAGTAAAGTAAACATGGAGCATTTTTTACAAGTTCTTAAAAAAGACTCCCTTCAGAGGCTAAAATATGAAGTAAGCAAGAAGGCTTGTGTGGTGCAAACATTGCAGCTCCTTCTAAGAGAGCAAAAGTGTCGTACCAGTTTGGCAACAAGTGTTTCACCAATGTTTTTTTTTCCACATGGATTTCAGTTTTTCCTTCAGTTTTAACTTAAATCAAAAAATTTCTGAGGTTAATTTTCAAGTGAAGAATTTACTAAATGTCCTGTCAGTTTAAATGATCACTATTAAATGTTCTGTGTACAGTAGATGTAGAAATATAACAGTTAATAAAGGAATAAACTGAGTTCCAAACATAACATTTAGTTAAAATTTTGCTTTGAAATAATTTGTGACAGAAAAGCTGCAGTTAGCCACTTCACACAGTGCACTGGCTGCCTCTGTTTCTCTAAGGCACGGCCTAGAAAACTTCAAGCAGCTTTAAAATGAATGATGTAATGAGCAAATAATTGGAATATGCCTATTAAATGCCATCTTGTTATGTCATGTCATTTACGTGTATGTGCAAATAAATCTCAGCTTTTCAAATTCCATAAAATTTCTGACAAGAAATTATGTCAGGTATAAATAACTACAGGATTCCATTGCCTGCCAAATTCTTTCAGCATGTAATAATTTCCATGTGATCTTACTGCAGCTAGGTTTAAACATATAAATAATGTCTGCTTATTCTTTCATTATCAATATTTCTGCTACCAGCTTGATGGAGCTTGCTGTCTTCTAAAAATTTCACATCCACAATGTTTATATGCTTGTACACAGATGTGTAGTTCTACGGCTAGACTTGCAGAGTGTTCTTTTTTCCGCCAAAATTCAAAACTCCCAAATTACTACAGATTCCATTAGAAAAATGTGCTATTAATGAACTGAGATGCAAAAAAGATGTAGACCAAGTACAGCTAAGTACAGGTTACAGATCAATTGATTTCAAAGGCTGCTAATCAAAATTGATTTTTGAATGACCATTTCCATAATGAATTTATAATACTACTTCAACATTTGGCCAAAGTGGAAAATTATTGCTTTTTCAAAACCACACGACATAACACTTAGAAAGCAACAATTCATTCAAAAGGAAATGTGGTTTTCTTAAGGAATAAAGTCAATTTATTTAAGTGGTTCAAAACTTGTTCTGTCTATGCATTTGTTTCTGCCATAGTAATGAGCTGCTAAACTTTCCTCTTGTGGTTTGTAGTTATTTAGCTCATTATAGTAACATAATCATATATCATTATATGCTATCATAAATCTGCCACTTTTCCCTTACAGAGTTAATCTTTTAAAATTGAATAATCTGTTGAGCATCAGGTTGAGTTAGTTTTTCCTTCAGCACAAATCATTTAATATAATACGCTTTAACTTTTCAGACTGAGTCAGTCCAACCAAACAGCAAAAATACTCCTCAGAGAATGAAGGGCAGAGGGAACTGTTGGGATACTGAACCCCATCACACCTGGGAATTGCTCACTGGCTGTCCTGGTTTCGGCTGGGACCGAGTTAATTTTCTTCCTAGTAGCTGGTACAGCGCTGCGCTTTGGATTTAGTATGAGAATAATATTGATAACAGACTGATGTTTTACCTGTTGCTAAGTAGTGCTTACTCTAGGTCAAGGGCTTTTCAGTTTCCCATGCTCTCCCGACAAGGAGGTGCACAAGGAGCTGGGAGGGAGCACAGCCGGGACAGATGACCCGAACCAGCCAAAGGGATATTCCATACCATAGAGCGTCATGCCCACTATAGAAACTGGGGGGACTTGGCTGGGAGGGGACAATTTCTGCTCGGGGATGGGATGGGCATCGGTCAGTGGGTGGTGAGCAACTGCATTGTGCATCAAATGTCTTTTCTTGGGTTTTATTTCTCTCTTTTTCTTATCTCCATTTTCATTGCAATTATTATTCTAATATTGTTATTGTTGTTCTTATTTTACTTGCTTTCAATTATTAAACTGCTCTTATCTCAACCCATGGGTTTTACCTCTCTCCAATTCTCCTCCCCATCCCACCAGGCGAGGCGGGGAATGAGCGAGCGGCTGCGTGGGACTTAGTTGCTGGCTGGGGTTAAACCACGACACTGGGTTTGTGTTCAGCTCCTGTGTTTCAGACCTAGCCTTAGCATACACTGAGAGAAAGCAAACCTCCTATTTTGCTCACTGGTAAATTAATCACATGTGATACTTCACCAGACAAAAATGACCTTATACAACTGACAGTACAGCTGTGAAACGAGCTTCAAAAAGCTGGTTATCTGCCTGTATAAACGTATACGCTTGGTTATACTTGCAACCAGACAGATGTCCTGCACACTTCTGTATTGTGAATATTTACCACAAGTAAGCAGCATACCATCTGGATTACATAACATATTTCTTAAATATGCTAGCCCCCGTTACTGGAAGAATCTGTGATAATAATATCTCTTGCTAATTTATACCACAAAAATTGCAGAAACATTAATTAGTTCCCACAGCAGAACTCTGGAATAGGTAAATAAGCTCCTGATTAAAAAGGCTGAGTAATTCAGAACAAAAAAAATGTTTTAAATTAAGCAGTGGGACAGCTGCTTAGCTGCTCCCATTCCTGTCCTCAAATCACACTGGCACTCTATGGTTGTACAGAGGACCTTTGCATATTATTATATAAATTAATACAGATGCCAAACTTCCAAATAATAAATAGCAAAATATTTTTTCTTTGCCTAAGCTCATGTCTAACGCATCACTATCAGTGGACTGAGCAGGACGTTGCCAGGACCAGATGGCTCTTGCTTTGGCAGGGTCACCCTTTCCAAGCTGGTGGAAGGCTGGATGACCAGTCAGACGAGGTACATAGCTAGTAGCCATCTACTGAAAACCTGAATAAATGCAATAAATCTGCTGGTGTGATAGTTTTCTCCATTATGATAACATCGCAGTATGAACTGGTCTGAAAATTCTGCTCTGTATATATATCAAGCCACTTTAAAAATTGGAGTTCCCATTGAAATGCTGTCAGTCCCTTAATAAGACAGTATTGGCTGAAAGTGCAAAAACTGAAATAAATTCTTTCTCCCCGACTAGGAATTAGGAAAGTTCAAACTAACAAAGAAAAACGAAAAAAAAAAAGAGGGAAGAGTTACCTTGAGATCCCTGCTGTACAGACTGGTTTGGAAATGGAGCGTATGGTTTATTTGGTATTCCAGAAAATTGCTGCCCATTTGGTGACTGGCTGTGTGACGATGGAGAGCCGTGTTTCTGCAATAGGGAAGGTGGAACTAATGCTTTCAGGGGGCTGACGAGTGGAGAGATTATGTTGGGAGCAAGCCTAGAAAAAGAAAATACAGAAAAACTTCATGTATCACATCACAATATGGGAAAACAAAATACTCGAAAGGCCCTCTTTCCATAACGGCCAAACTACAGAATCATCTATTCTGCAGGTAGAAATTATATTGTAAAAAAAAAGATAACAATGCAGTGCTGCTTTCAGGTATTCATTAGGAGGAAAGGGAGTTAGAAAAGGATTTCTATTCCTTTACACAGCCTTCCCGTACTAGCTATAATGACAGGATCAAAATGACACCACTCCTCAGTAAGCAACTTAAACACAGCTCAGTTTTAATTGAAAATTTCATGAGCTGAGATACATGTCCAGAAAACAGAAGTGGAAAATGTTGTCAGAGTGAGTAAATGCAAGTAAATTGTTTAAGTGCCTTCGTGGCTGTAACGGAGTAAAGCTTTGCACCCAAGTTGCAGCCAAGAGAAAGAAAGGCGTTAGTTTCAGTTATTCCTCATGTATGATTTTTTAGACTTAGAAATAGAGCTTTAACTGCAACAGATGGTACTGTCCTTTCAAAGAAAAAGCCTGAGTGAGTCTTTGCTTGTGGCGGCACTGCTCAGTGTGAGACTGCTCAGTGTAAGACTGAGCAGAGGTTACACCTGAGAGATGGAAAATTCCCCCGAGACATCTGGGACTTGGGCCAGCACAGGAGCGCTGGGGCAGTCCCGCTCGGGGAACAGACCCTGACCCCACACTCCCAGGAGCTGGAGCAGCTGAGGAAGAACGTCACCAACCCACTTCCATGAAGTCCCCGGGCATTCTCTGCCACCGGTGGACCGGAGAAGTTTCGGTGCTTCCTCCCCACCACAGCATGACCGTCCCACCAAGGGGTGGGAGAGCAGCTGGCCCAGGAGGGATGAACCCTTTGCCAGGGAACTGTCTTTTGGCCATTTACAGCCAGAAAGGTGGCACGGTGCAGAAGATGGGACCAAAAACCTGGCCATTCACGTGCAAGCCTCTTTTAGAGCTGCATTAAACTAACTCTATAAATGAGTAAATAGATAGAAGCTGGATCTTTTACCCTCCTACGGTACCGGTGACAAATGTCCTTTTGCTCCATAGCCCAGTGTCACACTGTCAAATGTGCAGGCTGCGTGGACCATATGTTCACCATATAGTCTCTGCTGCCCCTGGACCTTTTGCTAACCATAAGAAGCGGCTCTTTGAGCAGCACTAGACCTTTCAGATGCTAGAGAAAAACCCTGTTTGAGAGCCACCCTGCTGAAACTTCTCAGCTATGGGTCCTGAGGTGTAGAAATAAAAATACCCCTGCAGGTTATAATACGTGTCACCTAGCTGGAAAAAAATTATTGAGCACAAACCATTGCAGGTGTACAAAGAATCAGCTAAAACCCAAATTAAATCTCTCACTGGTGTCTTCCTCTACCACTGCACAAGCGGATCAAACACCACAAACCATGACTTGCAATAGCAGTTCCTCACCAGTTGACACAACTCCTTCTTGGAGCAGCTAGGATTAAACTTGGGGAGCGAGGGTATGCTTGACTTGGGGCTAAGCGCTACATAGGAGTGTTCAAGAGGTAAATATAGATGAACTGTGAATTAATGGTGACAACACCTTAATCAAATTTAACATGAGAGGCAGAGGAACACTGCCAAAAGCTGTCACAGTGACAGTCTATTAAAAGGGGCTTAAATAAATCAACCAGTCAAAGCCCGTCCTATGCTGAAATAATTCCATCTCCCAAAGCAGGAAAATAAGGCATATAATACAAACCACAGAGACTCTGAGTATCCCCAAACTAAACTGAAGAATTAAACCAGTATTGTTAAATGTGTGAAGGCAAGGATATTTTCAAGCCAAATATGTAAGAATTGGAAATTATTTTTTCATGAGGAAGATAACACCCCTCCCAATAAGCAATGACCAGCAATATGTAAAATAAAGAGGACTAAAATCAGATTTTAAGAGCTCTCTGGAGTCTGAACTGCTGAAGAGCAGCAGATGCTCAGGGGAAAATACTGAGTTTATTTGCTAAGAAGCAGCTAAATGCGAAAGTTGGCTCCCATGGGGTTGCAGTTTTTCCTCAAAGGTCTCAGCAGAGAAATAGTTTAACATAAATGAGCTGTTGTGCAGCCCAGCTACAAGTCGTATCTTCGGCAAATGCTCTCAAATGCATGTCTGTGGTGAACTATTGCATGAAGACGGGACTGACATTATCTGCTGGGACCTACGGAAAAGCTTTTGCTACCGTCTCTTCCGAGGTTGCAAGCAAATGCCGGCAAAGCACAACCACAAATTACAAAATGGTCACCAGCCCCTTCAAACGGCACGCATGGAGACATTGTCCTCGACACGCCAGAAATGCTATTAGAAGCCTGGAAATGCTTCTATCTGAAAGGAGATTAAAAAGATTGCAGTTGTTTTCATTGGAAAGATAATAGCTAAAAGAGATCACAATAATGACATTTATATGGATAATGACCACACACACATTCGAAAGAGAAACAAAAGATGTACTAAAAACGCCAAGGCCTGGATGAGCCAGAAACCACTCTGAATGAGGGAGGAAAATACTTCTGGTGAACAAGTACCCTGCAACTGCCTGTGTTGGGTTTCCTCTGCCTTCTCTTGAAATGTCTCGTCCTGGCTACTGCTGGGAAATGCAGCACCCCAGAGAGCCCTGCCGGGCTGCCCTCTCTCCTATGCTGCATGTCAAACAAAAATGGTACATTTAAGGTGTCCAGCTGTGGGAATATTGAAAATCCCAGGTTCCCTACCCAGTTCAGCTACTCCCAGAGGCTATTTAAATCTTAACCATGTGAGAAGAATTTAACAGTTTTTATTGTTATTTTTAAAGCAGCGCTTCTCCCCATTCACACTCTTTTGCGTTGCTGTTTTTCCTGTGTGTGAGCTCAACAGCTGTGATAGCAGTTGTGCCTCCAAGCCTTTGAAACGTCTGGTTAAGGGCAGGTGAGATTTCCCCATGCGAGGCCAGGGGCCCTGCTCCAGCTGGGTGAGCTGAGCGGCCGCACAGAGCCGCCGGCTCGCCGCCCCCACTCGGCCCTGCCGGCATAAAACCCAACCTCACCAAACATGGCTGTCTGCCGGCAGCCAGTATCCTAGGAACTTACTGTAGCACAGCAACTTGAGCTGAAACCCTGAAAGCTCCGTCTAACACTTGACCATCGCTGCCTCCTCTGCATGAAGAGAGTTTCATACAGTTGAGCAGGTGACCGTAAAATCTCCTACGTTCTGCTCAGTCTCTCCCAAATGGGGAATTTAACATGTTTCCCATAAGTTAAGGCACAGTTTTTAGCTAAGAAAGAGCTTTGCTCAGTAGAAAAATCTGGCTATATTAGCACAAGTGGCCAACGTGGGGATTTCTCTCCTTAAAATATTCATCACAATGCCTACAGCTCAAGCTGGTCCCTTAAAATACTATTTTGTGTGTGTTTATGCATGTGTGAATGTGCTCTGGCATGCTACAGGAGAGTTTTTTCATCAGCTGTCCAGTTCCCAGTGCCGTCTTTTTAATTCTCTCCTAAATATTTGCCTACTAATTAGGTTGCTGTGATACTCAGGTTGTTAAAAGAGAGGAGGAATCATTCCTGATACAAATGAGACAGATAATGCATTAGCAACAGAACAGAGCTTAAAAGGAGATGCCTTCTGTATGGAAGAAGAAACACCAAACTACTTACACCAGGAACTCAGCTGGAGGCATTAAAAATTCCCAGGCAGTAGCTCAGGCATCTATGTTTCTGTAACTAATAGCCTGGACATTTCCTGTTAATACTGTACTACAACCACAGTTTGCTTTGCTTTGTATATTAATAATAAATACATACCATATATTTTACTTTAATTGTAACTTGTATAATTCACTAAATTTGCAGGTCCTTTGGGGGCCTTTCAATATATATCTGTGCCTATATATTGCTAGAGAGAGAGAGAGAGAAATAAATACTCTCACACATATGTAAAAAAAAAATCCTTATCTTTCCTTACTTCATTAAATTTGAGGGCTCCTGGCTATATGGAATATTTCTGTTCAGGAGCATAAATCGTTTTGCTATCTCCCTAACCTTGTGACAAAGCTCAGAAGAATCATCAGTTCCTACAGATAGCTGTACTGCTGATACATCATATATACATCATATACATATATCCGACTCTTGATATAGCCTACCCTGTCTTACAAGGATGCTTGATGGCAAAACAGTTAGTAACTCAAACAACAATTAACCCGCTGCAAGGCTTTTACTGCTCTATTATCAGAAACTGTATGTCCCTTATGTGAAAGGTAACCTGTTAACCAGGCATTCACCTTATTCCCAGCCATTACCTGCTACAGACACAAATGAAGTTACTCGCAAGCCCTCTCTGAATCCAGCAGATTTTTTGTTGCCTACTGATGAAACTGCCATTGCTAAAAACTTTGCGGTATGTGATATATGATGCAAGTAGGAAAGCTTTTTCACCTGAAGGTTCATTTTGGTGACTTCAGTCCTCATGACAGTAGGTGCTTCTCAATCCCTGTCATACAGCGAGGTACACACTGACATACCCTACGTTCCTTACACGTGTTGACTGGTTTTGAACCTACAGTATCTTTTGGGAACAGCAGCATTGTAGGAATAATGTGCAACTTTCTTGAGCAGTGACAACAAGAGAGAGGGAACTACACAGTTGGATGCGGTAAGAACCTGTGTATTAATGACCTTATATTACGTAGTGGTAAAATTAGTTCAATTTCGATGCATTAAGTTATTGTGGGAGTTGAGAACAGCTGAAGATATACTAGAATAGTAAGACAGGATTTTCTGACAAAGTAAAACTGCCAAAACTAGAAGCATGCCACTGAAAGAAGAGAATTTAAAATGCAGTTTTTCAGATTACAAGGGTGCAACGGAGGAGCCAGCCTCCTCTCCACCCTGTCCAAGACACGGGAGCAACAGGGCATGCACCACAGAGAGAAGCAGGCCGGCTTGAAACAAAAGGAACATTTTGCTCACACAGC